CCCGTTTATTATTTACACATTTATAAGAAATATGATAGTCTTAGCATAGACAAAGGTATAAATTCTGGGAAATCTTAGTAAGACATTTCAGTAAAAAATGTGCCTGATAGTATGTTGAAAGAGCCATTTATTTAGCTAAATGTGACATATAAGAAACTTGACTAGGTGAAGATGCGGCTTTAAGTAGTACACGTAGTCCGTACAGGCAGTACTAAAAATATCAATTATTTAAGTAGTCGCACATTAAGAGCGGAGCTTCAGAATAATGTAAAATTCTCTTTGGGGGTATAGAAGGGATTGTGGGGTATTGATCCCCCGAGGGTTAAGAATAACGTTTTAAAGGCACATTATGCTTTTATTTGTTTTTCTTAAAAGCTTTTTTTATTTTGATGTTCTTCTTTATTATCCAAAAAATACACATTGGCCATTTACCTGAACCATCTTTTTCATCTGTTGCTTTTTGGCAATGATGAGTACAGTTATAGTGAATTAGTGTTTTATATGGAAGTAAAATACTACAGTGTTCGTTTCTTTTATGACGAATAATATCACAGTTATCGCTACTTTATTCAGGTAACAAGCATCTTACATTTCTCAGATACCATTATTTTAACATTATAAAATTCATGTTTGCTCTTTTGCATTTTTTTCATTTCCAACATATTTAAAATGGGGCTCAATATGGCACCAAAAGTTATCAAGTAAATGACCGACAGAACGGGATACTTTTCGCAGCATCTTTTAATTCTAGGAATACACAATTTCTGTACTAGAGTATTTTGAACGGTGGCATAAAAGTGACATTTGTATTTTTTTTATACTTTTTTTTTTTGTTTTTCGTACATATTTTTGTTTGATTGCCGTAGATATTTTTTTACATGTAGTTTTGAATACATACTTTTTTTTAGTTTTGCAAACATATTCTTTTTTTAGTTTGCATACATATTTTATTTTAGTTTTGCATACATATTCTTTTGTAGTTAGCATACATATTTTATTTTAGTTTTTTTGTACATATTTTATTTTTGTTTTTTCGTACATATTTTTACATGACGCCATTTGCAAAGTAGAGGTTTGGATAATTACACCATTTGTTAAACACCATTTTCAAACACTTGCCATCTGTAAATTACAGTACCCCATTTGCAAATGCCATTTGCAAATACCAACATTTTCATTTTTTAGTATCCGCGGTAACCCAAAGAAAGGTTCTGCATATGGTCTCGCTGTGGTTAACATTGTCACAAGGTGCCTTAAATTCCTTCATAGGGTTTCGGAGATAAGGAGCGGACATGAAACCCAAGTCTTTATCCTTTGACCTGTAGCTGTGACCCCGACCTTAAGCCGGCACACCTGGCATAAAGTTCTGTACATTATCTGAATGTGCTAAGGAATTGACCTAAGTATGGTATGGGTATGGTTGAGTGGTGCATATTCATGGAATAATAACTGATCACCAATCAACAGCCCTTTCCAAATAGACACTAATATAACAGTATATAATAATAAAAAACAATAATTAAATAAAATACATATAATATAAAAAATGGGCCGAAAAGGGTCTGCCGAAACCAGACTTGCCCGGCCGAAAACGACTGGGCCGATTCCAAAAATGGGCCGAAATGTGACCTAACCACTCTGCTAGTTTTATACTCAACTACGGGCTGAGATTTGAAGGCTGTTTTGATTGGCTAAAATATGTATGAAAAACAAAAATAACATATGTACGAAAAACAAAAATAAAATATGAATGCAAAACTGAAAAAATATGTATGCAAAACTAAAATAAAATATGTATACAGAACTAAAAACAAAAAAAATGCAACTGTCACTTTTATGCCACCGTAATTTTGTTATATGAACACAACTTTTAGATATTTCAAGTGGTAACATTAATGAAACTTTTATCACTTAAGGGGGCAGGGGACCTAAAAATGAGCAATTTTTAGTTCCGTGAGGCCGTTAAACACATTACCAATTTTTTTTTGATTTTATAAACATGTGAAAAACTTACTGCTTGGCAGTATTCAAGGATATATGACAAACATTGAAAAAAATAACTAAATGCATCCATTGCTCCATATAGTACAATCTGAGAGCAAATAATATTACCCCCACCCATCCAAAATCAGGCTGAAAATAAAGGAATATGCCCAATCTTCATGAAGACGCATAACACTTAAGAATCCGCCTAATGTCTTTAATTATAGAAATTTTCTATAGTAAAATGATCATAAAGTATGAAAATGCTAAACAAAGTGTCTGTCATACGTTTAGATTTTTTGCAAAATTTTATCAAAGTTTCTTACTCGTTCTGTAGCAGATGACAATCTGAAATTTACAGTTTTTCAGCCTCCTTTTGAAGAGTCAAAAATGCATACAAAGCTACCGAAGGCTAAGTTTCGCACACAAACATATAAATTTAGCTCATTTCCTACATACAAATTACAAAGAATTACATCAACAAAGAAATATAAACAATTTTCAACACCTTCAAAACACCATGTCTGTATTATCAATAAATTTCACCGGGGCCAAAGTACGAATATGTCCCCTGCCCCCTTAGCATCATAAAGTATTGACCGCCATCTTGAACTCCAACTCAAATATTCCAATGTCGCAGATAGAAAATAAGTCAGTACTCAGTATTTAAGCAGAACTCAGATGACACCTTTAGACCTCTTGAACCCAAAGTGCGTTGATATGTAGCATATTAACGCACTTTGGGGTCAATTTTTCGATTTTGATCCCAAAGTGCGTTTGACCCCAAAGTGCGGTGCGAAGTTTAACGCACTTTGGGGTCGGACCCCAAAGTGCGTTTGACCCCAAAGTGCGGTGTTACAAAGCGCAATTGGTGCTGAGAAATTTGCAAAAGAAATTGAATTAAAGTTTAAAAAAAAAGATTTTAGTGATTCTTTATATACATGTTTGTATGTACAGACGCTGTAAGATAAGTCTGTATAATGAATTAGAGAAAGTTCAGTTAATGTAATCTCGATTATTTAAAGTAAGTTGAATTCTAGAATAAATATAATGACCTGAATTATATGGTAAAATATTAAAACTTCTTTACATTTGACTTAAAAGTCAAACAAAAAATTCAAGTTGTAGTCTTTATTTTGGAACTACCAATTAATTTGTTTAAAGGATTTCAAGATTAAATCACTAAACTGAGCAATCATTCACAGACATACAAGTTGACATGTGACATAAGTAAGTTGCCGGTAAAAATGTTATGAACAATGACTTTTTGTTGTACACTATGCAAGCATTAATGATTTCTTTATTTGCATGTCATGTTTAGGCCCAATATTTTACACTTTTTTTATACACCAACAATTTTTTGCATTATTATATAAAATTTAACAAACAAATAAAAATGAATGTAAAAAAAAATCATGTACATTATAAGCAGTATAAGTATAAATTAAAATGTAAATTTAAGGATTTAACATTCAGGTTCAGAGCAGATCAAAATATTTTCAAAAAAAATGTTAATCATTCGAGTTGTACTCGTAAGTTTTAAGGTTATAATTACTAACAAAATCAACATCCGGATATCACTAAGATAATCTATAATGATACCGGAAGTCAATGACACTGATATCGCAGCAAAAATTCCTTACTTTACTACCATCTACACATTAAGGTTGTTCATCCCTTGAAGTTTAAGCAAAATCTGCCATCCGATTTAAGAGGAGTTGCATTCACAAAATTTCTACATAGTATATAGTGAAAAAATCAACAAAGGGCCATAATTCTGTTAAATTTGGTTGCAGCAAAAATTCCTTCCTTCACTGCCATCTACACATTAAGGTTGTTCATCCCTGGAAGTTTAAGCAAACTCTGCCATCCGGTTTAAGAGGAGTTGCGTTCACAAAATTTCTACATAGTATATAGTGAAAAAATCAACAAAGGGCCATAATTCTGTTAAATTTGGTGGCAGCAAAAATTCCTTCCTTTACTACCATCTACACATTAAGGTTGTTCATCCCTGTAAGTTTAAGCAAAATCTGCCATCGGGTTTAAGAGGAGTTTCGTTCACAAGATTTCGGGACGTACAGACGGACGGACAGACAGACGGACAAGTGCAACGCTATATGCTCCCACATTGTGGGGGCATAAATATCAGAAAACCTGAAAATACTGAATGTAGCATTATTTTAATTGGTTTAATAATGCAAAAAGAGTACTTTCAGGAGTATAAAAAAACCTGAACTTCAGGCAAATGTCTGACAAATTGTACCCTTGTAAAAGAAAATCTATATCCCCACAAGAAGTTAGGGCATAAAAACTCTTAAAAATTACATAACCGTAAATCAACTTTCATCATGATTTAAACAAATCAAAAATATGAAATGAACAATGTATAAATGCTTGAATATTTTCCAAACATAACTTTTAACCACAAACTAGAACTGTGTCCAAAGGACACGGATGCCCCCACCGACAACATATATATGGTATATAGTGAAAAAATCAACAAAGGGCCATAATTGTGTTAAATTTGGTCGCAGCAAAAATTCCTTACTTTACTATCATCTACACATTAAGGTTGTTCATCCCTGGAAGTTTAAGCAAAATCTGCCATCCGGTTTAAGAGGAGTTGCGTTCACAAAATTTCTACATAGTATATAGTGAAAAAATCAACAAAGGGCCATAATTCTGTTAAATTTGGTCGCAGCAAAAAATCCTTCCTTAACTATCATCTACACATTAAGGTTGTTCATCCCTGGAAGTTTAAGCAAAATCTGCCATCCGGTTTAAGAGGAGTTGTGTTCACCAGATTTCAGGACGGACCGACGTACGGACGGACAGAGGTATGGACGGACTGACAAGTGCAACGCTATATGCTCCCCACTTTGTGGGGGCATAAAAAGGTCATAGAAGAAATTAGCAAGACTTTGCCATTGTTTCAATTCATCTATGAATCTCAAGTTTTATGTATTTGACAAACATGCAATACATAGTAATCTATCATATTACATTTTAGGTTAAACATGACAGTCCCAGGAAAGAAAGCATCAAAACAGTTTTCGTCATCAACAACATCCATGTCATCAGATGAAGATCTTCAAGTTTACTGCCAGCCTTGTGACGAGGAAGGAACTAGACTCCCTGCCCATGGTTACTGTACTGACTGCAAGGAACATCTTTGCATGATATGCTTTAAAGCACATAAGATAAACAAGTTTACCAAAAAGCACACACGTCTTGATGCAACAAGTATGCCTAAAGTTTTGCAGCAACCCTCAACATCCATTCAAACAGTTCTGTCTGATGATTTGACTATGCCGTGTCCTAAACATCCAAAAGAAATGATCAAGTTTTACTGTAATGATCATACAGAATTTCTCTGCAGTGTTTGTGTTACACTTGAACATCAAGCTACTTCCTGCAAAGTCAACTATATACCAGACATTTCTGGTGATATAATAGACAGCAAAGAATATCAAGTTATCTTGAATGCAGTAAATACCACTTCTGACAAATTTCAACAGATATTAAAAGATGTCAAGGACATGACACACAAATCAAACAGCTCTCTTAAAGATGCATTAGTTGACATTAAAAAGTTTCGGCAAGAAATCAACCAAAGACTAGATGAACTGGAGAGACAGGCTGAAGATGCAGCTAAAGTCATAGAACAAGAAAACAAAAAACATCTGAAAGCAGTAGAAACAACATGTGAGGAAGTTACCAAATCTCTAAAGATATCATCAGACAAAATCAAACAACTCAACACAACAAAACAAGCTGACAAACTCTTCATTGATTTAAAACTTTCACAGGAGACAATCAAGGATATGGATGAAACACTACTAAAACTGTCATCATTTGATATCAAAGAGCACAACTTTCAATCAAATGATGTAATATTAAATTTGATTAAAACAGAGAAGTCACTAGGAACATTGACACAGAAAACTTTAAATAAAGAATCTCAATCTGCACAAATAAAGTCTAGGCAATCTTCACATGAGGGAGAAATCTGTGTGGAGACATCAAAAGATAACTACATTTGCTATATAACAGGAATGACTCTGCTGACTCCTGATCTTCTTATCATCACTGACTATAATAACGAAGATGTAAAGATGGTGGATACCAGCAGTCAATCTGTGTCTAATAAACTACAACTAGATGATAAACCATGGGATATCACCACAGTAGCCAGTACTGAACTTGCTGTCACACTTCCTCACAAACAAACAGTACAATTTATATCAATCTCATCAAACAAACAACTTAAAATGAAGCACACTGTGAAGGTTGGTGGGAAATGTTATGGTATAAACTGTTACCAAGGTAAACTTGTTGTGTCATTACGATTTCCTGCAAAACTTCAGATCCTTGATATGAATGGCACTATACTGACAACAATGGATGGAAAAAATATTTTCAAAGATCCATGGTATATCACATGTAACAGAATTTCTATCTATGTATCTGACTGTCACATGAAGACAGTAACAAGATTAAACTGGCAAGGTGAAGTGATAGGTAGTTATAGTGCTATGGGTTACCCTACAGGAATGTCACTGTCAGATGATGGTACTGTCTTTGTGTGTGACTGGAGGAGAAATGTTATAGAAGAGATATCAGGAGACTGCTCTACAGGAAAGGTGGTGCTGCAGGATCTGAAGACACCAAGGGCTGTATGTTGGTGTGGAAAAACAAAGAAGCTGTATTATAGCTGCTATGCTTTTGATAATAAAAATCAAAACTTCCTTTACATTTATAACCTATCATAGACTTAAACAGAGACTTAGTTGATTAAACAATGTCAAAAGTTTTTAAATTCATCATTCATTCTTCTAAAACTGGTCTGATTAGACCAAAGACTAGACCAAAGGTTGTATGTTGTTGTGTAAAAACAAAATTGAATTATATCTGTTAATTTATAGATCAAAATTTTCTTCTCCTCTATGAACTGTCATAGTCTTGAACACAAATATTATACAAAACAATTTGAACAGTTCTTAAGGTCAACGTTATGCAAACTACAAAACATTGCATAAAAAATTGCAAATTGCACTCTGTTTCAATGAAATCTCTCAAGTGTTTAAGTTATAATTTCAAATAGAAAATGTTCTTTTTGACCTATGGTCTGGACAAAAAAGTAGCAAGAAAAATAAGAATAACAAAGGGCAATTACTCAAAAAATTATGAAAAGGAAAATATAATTCTCAAGGTTTGCATCTTTTGTCATGCAATCTATCTACTGGTGAAGTTTCAAGCTGATATCTCAAATACTTTTCAACTTGTTCAAGTTATGCTCCAGAAAAAAAAATGGGACACCAAAGGATGGAATGACTAATGGTGACTATCGCAATATCTTCCGATGTCTTTTTTGACATATTATAAAATATCTAATGGCGATAGGATAAAAGGCATGAGCAATCCTTGTGCTCTATGATGATAAATTGGTTGCTGGGAAACAAGAAGACTAAAACAAGATGACTATAGATACATGGAATAAAACCTACACGGAACATTTCGTTCTTATTTATGTGCATGATAGACAAGTATAACATTCAATACTATTAAGCAAAAAATAGATAAATACAGAATCCCTAAAGAAAGCCCAACACGGCAAAATTGAAAATGTTGCAGGCTCGGTTTGATTGAGCCTGTTCATGGACGGTACTGGAAAGTGCAAGTTACCGTCCACGCCCCCTAGCACCGGCTTAAGCAGAATTCAACATTTAAACGTGAAATAGTAAAATTTTGAATTTAGAAACATCCGCAGATGTGTTCATACGGCGGTTATCATGGAACCTTCAATGTGACACTTCGTGCCAAACCTTCTATCTTTCATTTCACATAAGGACTTTATCATAACAAAACTGTTGTCATATACCCTACACTCAAAGTTTTAACAAAACATATTTTTGTTATAATGCATGTTTTGCTACCATAAAACACGGTTACCTTTATATTCAGATGACTTCAATAAAAGTTCATAACAGCCTCTTGCTGTGGTGGTGAAGTGAATGAAAAGTTTTTTCATAGACTGAAAATACAGAATATGTAATTTATTTGCTCCTGTCACATAAAACAAAAAATATATAACATGTAATCTTTAAGCTGTTGGATACTGTTACAGTAATATAACATTTTTTAGGACTGACTGATAGAAGATCCCTGATGCCCCTACATGCTAAATTGTTTCTTATAGAATTTTGATTGTAACTGAGCATATATGGCAGGTTCTATAGTGCAATACGAAACTGCTGGAACCAAAATTTTATAAAGATGTATCAATCATAATAAATTTTGTTAAGAAATTACGAGTATTTTATGTTTTTTTTATAACTTTGCATATGTAATCGGGTGTTATTTCGGGTATGTAGAAATGGTGTCATTTTTACAAACCTTACAAATTTATCTATTTACCATTGTTCTGTTATTAAATTTGTAATATTTTTTTAACAAACATTGTAATTTATTTCATATTAGGTTGAATAATGAAATGTAACATTTTTACATATTAAGAAATATTAAGTTTAGTAATTAAATTACAATATGAAGATTTATAGTATTTTTTCAGAAAGATGTACTATGCTCAAATTTCATATATGAAAATATATATAATAGCTACTCAATCTCTTTGTAAATATAAAATAAACATGTTTTAAATGCACACAAAGTAGATATATAATATTGTCTTTAAAATTCTAAACACTATAGGTGGTTACAGTATGAATATATATTTCATTAAAAAACTGGCAGTTTTTTAAAGAAAAGACCAATTTTACTTGACCTATAGGAAACGCAGCTTCCAATACATAATTTATTCATTCTTTTATTCAAATTCGACATATTCATCAAGAATTACATAGATTTTAATAAATTATTGTGATAAAAATAGTTTAATCAAAGATAAGCATAGTGTATCTTTAAGTAATAATTGACTTTTGGGGCTTTCTTTAGGGATTCTTATTTCTCTCTTTTTTAATCATTCTTTTGTATTTATTAAATATGTGTTTGTAAATACTTTTCAAATTCAAAATTGTCAAATAAGTGTGTTCTTTATAATTGTTGGATTTTGTATCAAGTTTATAATTACAATTAGTTAGTAAATTAAATTAGTAATATTGTTCTTTAACAAAAAAATTATCTCAAGTAAAGATTTTCGGTACTTTTCATGTGCCTTGTGAGTACTTTATATGTAATCTATACCATTCCCCACTTTAAATAATTTGTAAGAATAATAATGAAATAATGAAGAGATATTACTTCATCTTGGTATCAATCTATATTGTTTTTTAGATTTAGAAATATCTTAATAAATTCGGTAAATAAAATTATGAAATCCATTATAATATAGATAGTTTCAGATACACATACATTACTTGTATGATTTCTTTATGAATGATGTTTTGTGTTTTGTATTGTATTTGACACATACTTATTTGACTGAAAAAGAATAAATCTCCCAGAGATCAAATATTGTCTTCTTATTATAACAGGCACAAGCATCTCAAAAGCAAATTGTACACCACTTGGATATTACGTAAAATATTAATCCGATATCCTTACGGTGTAAACATATAATGACTTTTCCATGATAACTGTTTTTAATGTTTTGCCCTGTCAGAATTAAAAATAACTATAGAAATTGTCACAAGTGCCGAATACCCCTGACACTCGTTTATAGGTCTGTCTAGTCACACTTGTTGTTTTTTCCAAGTATAGTCATTTCCAAAAATAAATGACATAGTTTAAAAAAGATTTAATCAAAATTCAATCATTTGACAGTTAATGTCATTTAAGGTCAAAGTTATATCTAAATTATTCCACATGTCTGTTTGGTCTCAAGTGTTGTTTTGTCCACATATAAATCAAGTCCAAACATAAAAAATTATGACAACTGAACCAAAATTCAATATTTGACCTCAAGCTCAGGGTAAGTTCAACCTTTCAGAATATCATCAAAAAGTTTGTTTTGTCCAAGTTTGAAAATAATCCATTGATAAGTTACAAAGTTACAGCCAATTATAGTGTTATAATCAGTGAAAATAAGATTATAATTTGACCTTAAAGGTCATGTCTCACATGAGTTAAGGTCAATTTGAGGTTGAAATACACGAGGTTCTGACCAAAAAGATGTTGTGTCTTAATATGAAGGTAATTCATTAAGCCAGTTATATACAAACAAGAGGGCCAAGATGACCCTAGATCGCCCACCTGATCCATCAATTCATTGTAGGAAAAGAGATATCAAAAGTATCAGAAGTAGGTCAGTTGATATCAAAAATCAATTCAGCATCAAAAATTTCATTCCTAGTGCAAATTTCAAATCTGTTTGTCAAAAAACCAGAGAGTAGGTCAAATGATTCCATAAATATCAAAAGTAGGTTATATAATATCAAAATTATAATCAGCCTCTGAAATTACACCCTTGGTCCAAATTTCAGGTCTGTACGTCAAAAAAAATAGGTCAAGTGATATTAAAAAGTATCAAACGTAGGTCAGCCGATATCATAAGTCGATTCTGAATCAGAAGTTACACCACTGGTCCAAGTCCAAATTTCGCCGTTTGTATTTAAAAAAAGCACGAGAAACTAGATCAAACAATATATATCATTAATATCAAAAGCAGGTCAGTTGATATCACAATAAAATTCGGCATCTGATATAACATTTCTGGCCCAACGTTCAAGTCAGTTTGATGACAATTTAGTCAAACATATATGCATGTGACCACTAGAGTGTTAACAAGGTTTTTTTCCCCTTTTGGGAGGTGTTACCTAGTTTTAGACGCCAAGTGACCCATATTCGATCTTCACTTAGAAATCATCAAAACAAACTTTCATACCAATTTCCAGTATATTTAGATTAAAACTAGAGTGTAAACAAAATTTTTCTATTTATAGAATATAGAATAGAATATTTATATATGACGTAAGCGAGCAATGGCGGTGAGGTCTCGATAAACACCCGCTAAAGAAAAACTGGATTTAAAACATTTCCAATGACATTCAGACCTGGATTTATGTTACAATCGTTATTTAAATGTTGTTAGAGTTGGGTATCATACATGGGTCGTGGAAAAAAGCACAGGGATAGACAAAAACGCAAGAAAAGCAGTGACTCTGATAGTGATAACAGGTCAACAAAACAGTTCAAATATGGCGGACTATTGACAAGCGAAGTTCTCGGCGCAGCAAATAGTGTTTTATATGACAGTTGTATTGAAAGTAATTTGGAATACAGTGAGTGTGAGGATACAGTGTTCGATTCTATGGAAACCAGAAGACAAACTCCTAGCAGCAAATCATCGAAGGGCGCCGACGGTATAAATATGGCGGGAGCCAATACTTCGACCCCAGGTAGCATTTCTCAACAATCTATCATGACAGAAAAAGAACAATTAGCATTTTTAGTTAATACTGTGACTAAGATAAAAGAGGGCCAGGACTCTATGGTGGCTTTATTTGAAACTAAATTGGACAATTTGAAAATAGAGCTGACCTCAACTATCAACTCCAAAATGCAAACATTAAAACGAGAGCTGACTGAAAACATCGCTCAAGAAACTCGCCGCGTAGATGGTGTATTGACAACAATTAAGCACATGCAATCTAGATTAGATACCCTTGGGCAACAAGGATCAAATTTATTGAACAGTGGCGGATTATCTGACCCACCCACCGTTTATCATGGTAATCCTTTGCATGACCCAAATCGCACTCTCACGGCCAGTGGTATTCAGGTCACGGTCAATGAAAACTTAATTCAGAAAGCT